CTTGAAAAACTCAAAATGCACTGATTTTTACTTCTTAAACAAACAATTAGTGATAGAAACTCTGGATAGTATTATTGATAAACTGGTCATACTTTATAATCTTTGCCTTATCGAAGGAATCTTTCCCGATGTATTAAAAGTAACAAAAGTGTTACCGCTACTCAAAAAAAGATCTTCAGAAGAAATTGAAAATTATCGCCCTATTTCTATTATTCCCATTCTTGGTAAAATTTTTGAAAGTATTTTGAATAACCGTTTAATAGAGTACATAGAAAAGTACAATACACTTCATTGTAATCAATATGGTTTCAGAAAAAAAATGCAGCACTCCAGCAATTCAGGAAATTGTAAGGGAAGTAGTTGATGGCCTAGAGAGAGGTCACTTCGTGTCTTTAACATTATGTGACTTATCTAAGGCTTTTGATTGTGTCTCACACACTTTACTTTTAGACAAAATGCACAAATATGGCATAAGGGGAAATGCTCTTAATTTATTTCGATCGTATTTAATAAACAGAAAACAGACCGTTTTTTTAAATAATAATTACTCCAATTTTCACAATGTTGAACATGGAGTTCCCCAAGGGTCTATATTAGGACCTACATTTTTTCTTCTATATCTCAACGATATATTTCATTATACCCACCCCTTAAGGTGTATATGTTTTGCAGATGATACAACCGTTATTAGTACCGACCAGAATCAATATAATTTAAATAACAAAATAGGAAACGATGTGCTTAAAATTAAAAACTGGTTTGCACATAATAAACTAAAACTAAACGAGGATAAAAATCAAAATATAGTTTTCAGTGCAGATCGAAGACACATTTTTGGATATAGCATCAAATTGTTAGGGATTTTTATGGATGACAACTTAGATTGGGGCATCCATATAGACAACTTAAGTTCTAAACTTGCCAGTACAATATTTGTAATGCGTAACCTGGTTTATTTGGTACCTAAAAGTACCCTTAAAATGTGTTACTTTTCATTGTTTCATAGTCATATACAACATGGAATAGCTGTTTGGGGCAACTCTGGTCATGCCGACAGAACATTTAAATTACAAAAGAAGGTGGTGAGGATACTTGCTGGAGCGGATTTAAGGGATCATTGTAAACCATTATTTTTGAACATGGGTATTATGCCTCTACCTTCGCTTTATATGTATGCAACACTGTTGGAAATTCACGATAATAAAAATAAGTTTACTATAAACTCCCAATTACATGATCATCTAACAAGATCGAGGGATTTAATTAGGTCACAACGTTTCAGACTATCAAAGAGCACAAAGAATTTAATTGATATTCACTTGTATAACTATCTGCCTAACGAAATGAAAATTCTGTCTCCACCCCTGTTTAAAAATAGGATCAGAAAGCATTTTTTAACATATTTTTACTCAAAGACAGAATACCTCAATACACCTTTGTAACGTGTACCCAGTTTGGTCAGAATACTGTCGATTTACTATCTACATATCACATTGTATTATTGCTATTAAAATGTACTAAGTTTTATGTATTAGTTTATTTAGTCATCGATTCGAGAATATTCTTAATTATTTGTATATTTTTGTTACTTCCATATTTCAAAGATTTTTTATGTGACAGTTTAGGTTTGTTTTTTTTTGGTTAGAGATCTTTTTTATCTTAAATTTTTAATTTTAATTCTTCTGCTAATACTTACATATGTATAATACTTTAGCCAATATGGTCAAGTTAATTTTAAGTTTACATTATTATATCTTTTATTGTATTTTTTATACGGACTTCAAACTTTATGTAAAGTGGTCAATAAACGTTCTATCTATCTATTGGTAGTAAATTAATCGATCTATCTCATTTGGATGATTAACATCAGGAAAAAATCTTCGTAATGTAGGCACTAAAAAGTTAATTAAAATCTAGATAAACTTCATCATCAACTGTGCCTTCAAAAAAATGGGAGGGACCAATAATTATATTGCTAATCATACCAGCTTAAACATTAATTTTTTATGATATTGCGTGTGAGTTTTGCACACCCAGTGGTGATTTTCTCTGCTCCAATATCTACAGTTCTATTTGTTTGAACGTTCCATTTAAATGAAACGTCGCTTCATCAGAAAAAACTATTTTGTTTATGAACTGCAAATCTGCGTCCATCCTGTTCATCATCAATTCACAGAATTCTTACCTTCTTCATTTAACACCTGAACCAACTGAACTTTGTAAGGGTGGTATTTTTCTTTATGCAAAACTCTCAACATAGATGATTTATTAACAACATTGATGAGATAAGACAGCGAATAGTCTCTAACAGCAAACATAGAAAGAAAATAGCTGATATGATACGGACACGTCCAGAGGATGGATAACTCAAGACTCCGAAAAATAATTATGCAATGGGTACCACCAAACCGCAGAAAGAGAGGAAGACCTAAGAAATCTTGGAGCGAGGGAGTAACGAAGGCCATGAGCGCAAGAGATCCTAGAGAGGGCCAATGGGATGATAGAGTGTCATGAAAATTGGGCAGCGGATTTTCCTCACTATCTAGAAGTACATTCTACCTGGTTTTTCAATATTTTTTACATGTCCAGTAGGTATAACGAAACTTCTTCTCAATTTTGATAACTGTAGACTGCGAAACTTGTTGTCTAGGGTATTGAAACATTTCACAAAACTCCTTTTGAGGTCTTGTTTTATTACCACAACCAATCATAATTAAAATATCTCTTCTTTGAGTCTCAGAAAAATGAGCCATAATTAAATTTAATACGCACACAAAAATTATACTGACGTCTTTTAGTACCTTTAAATGCCTAAACGACAGCAGCCTACTAGATTCATATAAATTGTTTATTTGGATTTTTGACTAATATTTCATTATCTTCAAAGCTTTTTCCCCAATGTTTAGCAGAACAGATACGAAAATACCTGATTATTTCTAAAGTGTATTTTAATAGATAAGGCAATATTGCTGATTTAAAAGTTAGAATAACGGAAGGAATTGACAAAATAACCCCCGAGGTCACACAAAATGTACGAAAATTCCAAAATCGTCTCGGTTATTGTCAAGAAGTGAATAATGGTGGTTAAGTTGAACATTTAGTTTAACTTTCAAAAATCAATTTTCTCAGTTATGATTCCACAAACTTAAAAAACTTTATATTGCTGAACAGAGGACTAAAATCCCTTTCTAACAAGGTGCCACACGACCCCCTTTGTTATTTAAAATTTTCGAGGGGGTGCTTATAATTCAAAATGGGTGCTGGAGGGGGATAATATTTTCATACTGTTAATTGCCAATTTAAGAATAAAAATCGACCTGTTTTAGGTTTTTTTTACAAAGTACATAATAACGAAAATGCAGTTAGTTGTGTAAAAATTGGAACCAGAACCTCAAATGAATTTAAAGTCACTAAAGGCCTAAAGCAAGGATGCTGTTTGTCACCGACACTCTTTAAAATATACGTCCAAAAAGCATTGAGGAATTGGAGAAATAAATGTAGATTTATGGGCATCGAAGTGGGACAAGAAACTCTGTATACATTGTTGTTTGCAGATGATCAGGTGGTGGTTGCAACCGATGAGGAAGATATAAATTATATGAATCGAAAATTATTTGAGGAATATGCCAAATGGGGGCTTACTGTAAACATAAGCAAAACAGAATATTTAAAAATTGGAGGAAATACCACAGATCTGAGGCTTGAAAACGCAGTCATAAAAGGCTGCAACCAGTATAAATATCTAGGAAGCATCATATCAGCAGATGGCAGAGTTAAGATAGATGTACAAAACCGAATAACCCAAGGGAAAAAATGCATCCGAATACTGAATTCATTACTGTGGTCTAATAAAATAAAGATGCATACCAAGCTTCGCGTATACAGAGCAATTGTAGAACCAATTACCACATATGGTGCCGAATGTTGGACGATGACAAAGAATGAACGAGATAAAGTAGACGTTGTGGAAATGGATTATATTAGAAGGTCATGTCGAGTATCGAGAATGGAAAGAATCAGGAATGTGGAAATACGAAACCGTACAGGAATTAGAAATACTCTTTCAGATAGAATACAAGGAAGGCAATTACAATGGTATGGTCACGTGATGAGAATGGAGGAGGAGCGGTGGCCAAAGAAAGCCCTAATGTATGTTCCGCCAGAAAGAAGGAAAAGGGGAAGACCACCAAATTCCTGGAGAAGAGAAATTACAAAAACAATGCAATCTAGAGGCTTAGAAGAGGGAGATTGGAGAGATACTAAAAGATGGAGGCTGAAATGCGGGAAGCGGCAATCGCCGTAGGACCCCCGTTATATGATGATGACATAATAACGCTAAAGATGAATTTATTCCATACATATGGACCGCATGGTATGTCAAATGCCTCATATTTATTTAATGTCGTAGGTTTTGAAGATTGATCTCTTCAAGTGGAACTTTTACTACACCTGATCAATAAAAGTGAACAATTTTATTGATCTCACGAGAATCGTAAAAAATGGCAAAAATCGCGATACGTTAATTTATTTAACACAATTATAAAAACTGAGTTTATTGTCGGCAAAATAAAAAACCGTATACGAAAGCTGCACTCTTAGTCTTTAAAACGCATATTGATTTTTGTCGATAGGACATTTGGATCAAAAGATATCGAATTTTTACCAAGCTAATACAAATTTTTTTGAACATTGATTAAGCGCGCCTAACTGACATGCAAAATCGACAGTGGCTTCAAGCGTTTATTCTAAGAGAACAGTTCATTCTACCCAAAAAATTCTACCAAAAAATTTTGGGGTCCCAAAATAATACACTCTGCAAAATTGAGCTTGTTCGTATGATTTTTAGCGGTCAACTCTCTGACGACTGGACTGAAGTTTGAAGCACTGTTTAAGTTTTGTTGTTTAAAAAAGTAAAATTAGTTTTAAGTATAGAATCACAGTATGTAGGTTATAATATGTAGGTTAAAAATCATGACAAGAAAGTAATAAAGAGTACTTACCACCTGCTAAAGACAATGCTGACTTATCGCTCAGTCTCCTCCGTATCGGCCCTGCAACGTTCGGTGAGGGTGAATGCAACACTGGGGACCTTACTGCCGAGACCATAGGTCCCATAGAAACGGGAGGTTGGGGTAAAGCAGAACTGACAGGTAGCTTTACAGAACCAACTGGCGAGTCTTTATGAGGATCCGGAGAGCTCATCTGCTTAGAAAGATGCAAATGATGCATCATGGCTTGGAGTCGGTCTCGTTCTTTTTGTAGTTGAAGTTCTAATTGTGAGACTACTTGCATTTGTACCCGTGCTTGAGCGGTAGAACGATCATCTAAGATGTGTTCTGTGTTTAAATGCCTGAAACAAATACGTGATTCAAAAAACAGAAAATCTGATGTGCGTAAAAATGTTAAAATATATTTTTTTATAGAAAGTAATTTTCACACTGTACAGCAAACTCTTTAGCGCCAACAGTTCTTCTGACATTTATTGTTTTCCTCGAAAAAAGCATCGACAGCGATATAATTTGCGTCAAAGTCAACATTAATTTTGCCTTTTTTCTGAACTAATTAATACCTGAAAGAAAGAGGATTTAACCGAAACATCAAATTAGAAAATTTTGTCCTCCTCGTCGCCACAGTTTAAAGTCACAAAAGAAAAAGGCAAAAACCAACCTGGCATAAATTAAAGAAGACATCCGCGTAGTTTAAAAACTCTAATTACGCCATGTTTAATTAATATGCAAGGCGTTTGATCGCCACGTTGCCGGATTTAATGTTAATCTCCCAAGGAGTCTATTCGTCCCCCAAGTCCTTTGTACAGGGTGGCAAACATGCCGTTGTGGGGCGATAAAATCTTTAGATGGAAATGTTTTATTTATGAACAATGGTCCGGATTTAAAGGCTAAATGTTTTACGGTGAAACCGATTTAAAAATGTAACTGATATTGATAAAGGATATTGTTTTGCTACCGAGATTAATTAATTAAATTATTTAATTTTGTTTTGTAATATGTATAGCTAAAAAATATGTAAATTAGTTATACAATGAATGCCAAAAACTATATGATTACTTTTTCTACGTTCTTTCAAAACACGGAAAGCTAGTTTATCACACACAAATGTAGACAAAACTAGTCCCTAGTAAGTGAGGGATTCGGCCGTTACTTGATGAAAATTCATTTTATCTAACAATAAAACACTGACACTATCATCAACTCAATAAGTTGAGGAGGGAAAAACTGCTTGTCTCAAGTTGGTCATTACGAATTATATCTGTAGTTTTAATTTGTTAACTTCCATAGATTCTAATAAAGATAGCTAAGGCCTTTATTTTCAATGTGAAAAATTTGAAATTAGTTATTAAAAGAATGATTATGGTATAGAACGTGAAGTGCATACGTAGAATCTGTTTTTCTATTATTGAGAGCTCATTTGTGTTTTGTAATTCATTTGTTAAAAATTCTACCAGTTTGACCGATGTAAGTTGTACTCTTCATAACATTTCAGAACCTTCTTGCGAATATGAATCGACAGGTCTCTGTTACATAAAACTGGTTTGAAGGTCATAAAAGCTTTACGTGATACTTAAATCCTGGTTATTATCTCTTCATCAGAGTCACAATTTACATTTAACCAGCTACCAAGGTCTTTAAAATGGTATACACGTTTTATACTCTTTCTATTAAGAGAAAGCAGACCTTGATCTATAATAATTTTTCGAACTGCCATCTACTTTGTCCTTGAAATGTTGATTTTATGGCCTCTCTGATAGCTTGCTTCGCTGACTAGATTTAACTCTCTACCGGTTAAGAGTGCCTCGAGGCATGCCTGAAAAAAGTCAATAATATTTATTCCCAAAACTGCTAACAGTGCCTACAGACAAGACAGTACATTCTGTTATCTTGGTTTATAAGCAAGATCATTTTACCGTTTCGTTTCGTTTGTCGGAACAGTTTAGTGAGAAGTTTCGTAGTGTTAAGATCGAAAATTATTTTTTGCTACAGTCCAATTTTCAAAAAAAAAATTATATAGTTTTTCGTATTGGATCTCGCCGTAATTTATACCGTTGAAAAGGTAAGAATTCATTATTTTAATATTATATAAGTGGAAGTGAAAAATAAAATTATGAAGTTGTGTAAAAACAGAAAAAGGAAAGCGTACTTCAGAGCACTTATCACATGTTTACAGATCTATTGTGGCAGAAAATGGATTTCGGAAGTCGAAATAAAGTGAAAAATCAACGAAATGAGCGAAGAGGAACAATGGTCATTTACAGAATCGGTCTAATCAGATGTGGAAACCGATTTCATAAGCGACGATGATGAAAACGATCCAGATTTTATGCTTGATGAAATATCCCCCAAGGATGAACAGTATATTTCACAGGTGCTTCGGTAAATAGATGAAGACGAATCTGCTTTCGTCAATCAAGCGGCCGACTTTTCTTTGAACTGACTGCAGTCGACGAAGCACTTCCATCAGCTTCGTCAACATTACTTCCTGAACAGAATGTTTCGCACGAAAAGGTTATTATCATTAACTTCAACACCGCGTTTCAAGAAACTGAAACGACCAACGTTCTCCATTGCCGGAAATCGAAATTGCTGGTCTATCAATTCTGCCTTCTGCTGGTAAGTTTCACTGGTGCAGGTATGAATTGTTTTGACATAAGAGTATGGATGAGTTTCCTAAACTGGTATTATAACTTTTTCGCAGGTATTGAATCAATAGCTAAAAATTCGGTTGAGTTTTCCAAAATCGTATGGCGAAAACAATCAATGCATTTGCATGTCAATCAAATAGCCTTCCGGGGTGACTCAAGCGCACCATCGTCCATAAAAAAAATCGAGACACCCATGGAACTATTTCGGTATTTTTTCACTAAGGAGTTGGTTGACTTGATTGCATTTAAAATAAATCGAGCAGCTCGCCAAGCCGATATCAACACAAAATTCACTACTACTAGTGAAGATATTTTTAGACATATTGGCATTCTCATTTACATGAGTGTTTACCGATATCCCAATTTGGAAATCTATTGGGGCCAAAACGCGTTTCAAGCAATAGCAAAGACATTGTCCAAAGGAAAATTCATTACGATAATACAACATTTATCCTTTCGTGATGAAAGCACTAGAGTCAAGAAAGGCAAACCCGGCTACGATGCGTTATTCCGCATTCGAACATTGGTTGACATTTTAAACTCGATTCGATTCCATTCCGAAGGCTGCTCGATTGTGCATCGACGATCAGATGTGCAGCACCAAAACAAAACATCAATTTGCGTCAATACATGCCAAATAAACCACACAAATAGGGTATCAAGCTATTTGTTTTATGTAATACGAGTGGATTCGCTTATCAATTTGAAGTTTATTACGGTGCTGGCACTGGCACCCCCAGGTGAAGACAGGGTACTGTTTAATAAATGTCTGTGCGAAGCGATAACACCGACGCAATGGAACAACGCGGAAATAAATCATCTTACTTCATAAGAAGGGAGATATCAGCGACCTTAGAAACTACCGCCCCATTAGCTTGTTGTCACAAGTATATAAGCTATTTACAAGAGTTATTACCAACAGGCTAGGAAGTAAGTTGGATTTCTATCAGCCAAGAGAGCAAGCAGGTTTTAGAGCAGGATATGGCACGAATGATCATTTACAAGTAATTAAGAACTTAATAGAAAAGAGTGTTAATATAACAAGCCGTTAGTCATGATATTTGTTGACTAGGAAAAATATTTCGACACAATAAGTCACCAAAAGATGTTAAAAGCCTTAACAGAGTGCCGTATAGATCATCGCTATATAAACATGATAAAATACATCTATCAAAATGGGACAGCAAGCGTGAAACTGGCAGATAAAAAGACCAACGTACATATTTAAAATAAAACGGGGAGTGCGACAGGGGGACACAATTTCGCCAAAATTGTTTACAACATTATTAGAGCATATGTTTAAGAACGCAAATCTGAGTAAAAAAGGAATTAATGTCAATGGAGAAATGCTTAGTCATTTGAGGTTTGCTGACGATATTGTCCTTTTTGCTGACAGAATCGATGATGCAGTATGGTAACTGGAGAAACTATACCTAGCCTCCCTACAAGTTGGATTAAAAATCAACCACACAAAAACACAAATCATGACAAATCTTGTGTTAAGCGAAAAGATTTCAGTAAGTGGCATGCACATTGAAGAAACTACCTCTTATAAGTACTTAGGACATGAGATACGCATAGGAAGAGATAATCAAACGCGCGAACTAAGCCGCCGCATAGGACTCACTTGGGTGGCATTTGGCAAGCTGAGCTATGTTCTTAAATCAGAACTTCCTATGTGTCTTAAAAGAAAAGTCTTTAATCAGTGCGTTTTGCCAGTACTTACATATGGAGTAGAGACATTAACACTAACCAAGAAAGTAAGAAATACAATTTGTGTTACCCAAAGAGCCATGAAACGATCGATGTTAGGCATTTCTCGTAGGGATCGGATCACGAACAAGGAAATAAGACGGAGAACAGGAGTGACAGATGCCATAGAAAGAATAATGACCCTTAAGTGGAACTGGGCGGGGCACATAGCTAGAATGTCGGATAACAGATGGACACAGCGAATAACACAGTGGAGACCGAGACAAGAAACACATCGAAGTAGAGGTCGTCCACCAACAAGATGGTCTGATGACATAAAACGGATCGACAAAAATTGGATGCAAACAGCACAAAACAGAAATACATGGAAAAGACTGAGGAAGACCTATATCCAGCAGTGGATAAATCCGGGTTAAATGATGATGATGACGGTGCTGGCGACAATGTGATCCTACCGGGCCAGCCTATCTTGGAGCCACATCGAACATTGTTGTGCGATTGTCACAAACAATTCCAGGCTTCGTTCATCATATCTTGTATTTCGATAATTTTCATACATCGTTGCCTTTGTTGCTATTACGTTACGGCGTTACGACGGTCAAGACCATTTCCCAATCTGACTGGGCAAAAAAGGTGGAAAGAGATGGTGCAAATTGGGCAAGTCACAAACGCGGTGTGTTTGCTCAAAATACGATCTCCGTTTATGCTGTTCCAACGCTAAAAACTGTTTTAACACACTAAAAAATAATTCATTTCACTTATCATTTGTTATTTATCTTTATCTATTTATTATATTATTCTTTTATCCCTTAATAAACAACATTTTTTTATTGAGAATTCTACTTTACTCTTGTCTTGTTTACGTGCTCTTATATTCGGCCTAAACTGTCATGCGTGCCCTGAGGCACTGTTGTACCTTTTGTCTACCTGGCATATGTGAAAACGAGCAAGCCACCTCTGGATATATTTTTTGGGGCTTT